AATTTTTTTAATGATGAATAACTTCGTAGCAGCAAATACTGAGAAGCAAGATAAAGCATGCAAATTGTGTGTGTGTGTCTGTCTGTGCTGATGCATTAGACCCAGCAAGCCACAGTCTGTCCCAGTTAATTTGTTTCATCACATGAAGCAATGTGATGGAATGTTAATGTCAGCACCCTCTTTATTTACACACTGTGGAAAAAAGGAGTAGTAATTAACACTTTGACACTCCCCCGTTGATGTGTAATTGACTGTTTCAAAGGAGCACTGGTTCATAAGCTATTGCATGCATTAAAATTACGTTTTTTATATTCCAGCTTTTTAGGACAGGGGTCAGTGACAATGCAGAAATTGCTCAATGATGCAGATTTTTTTATGACTGCATTAAGGTTTTGACATATTGGTAATGAATAAATGTTTCCATAAAAATACAATATTTTTTTTATAACTTTGATTTTCAAATGACAGTTAAACAGTGCCTTGGATGCATTTGAGGAAAGCCACAGTTTTGCTAAAACAGAGTTTAGTGCAGCTTTTTAACACATGCATTATTTTGTTTAATGGAGTGTGATACAATTCTTAGAGTAATTGCCCTCAGAGCTTTAAAATGGTGGTACTTCGGGTATTAAAATGATGGAAATACCAATGGGATTATTTGGTGGAAAAAATCAGCAGCAAGTTTTTGGTAGCTTGTAAATGTGTGTATAGAGTAAGTGTATCTTTAGTCACATGTATATGAACATCAGTTATACAGACATCTTATGCTTTTCTTTCTCAGAGGAAAGTGGGTTTAGGTACTCATCGACAGAAGTATTTGCTGAAATTGTTGTTACATCAATGTTTGAATAAATTTATGGAAGCTCAATTACACATCTCTGTAGCAATAATTGTATTATATTCAGTTGTGGTTTCTTTTGCCTTGCCTCCCAGTGTCTCTGCTTCCCTCCATGAATTAATTCAGTGTGTGAAGTTTCAATATATCTAAGATTCATATAATCTTAGTAAAATCCTTACATACCTGTGCAACTGTTTAGAAAGACAGTCTTACCTTCCACTTATGCTGATTTCTCTGTGGTGTTCTCAGAAACTTTCTGTGTCTTTGAGCAATGGACAAGCAAAGACTTGGAGGGAGCACAGATGGAAATTCTGGGAACTGAGTGGCTCAGCCATGGCTTTGAGAAACAAGGATAGTTTGCTCTAGACAACAATGCAGTTATTAGATGAGGCATTCAAAAATTCTGTTCCAAAAATGAGATTTTTTTAATCATGCTTTAGAGATTTTTTTTTTTTAATAACTTGCCAAAATACCTTTGTTTTAAAAGTTGTTTAGAATAAGATTCCAGTGGCAGTAGAGCATGGGCTGTAGTTGTAACTATGCCTGGACCAGGACCAGTCAGAGCTGACCCAGGAAAGCTGAGCAGTGCAGGCTCCTACAGGCAACATCAGTTTGTTACAATTTGTTGTTTTATTAATGCTGACAACTTAGGCCAGCAGTAGCATTATCTGTGTCAACTGCATCGCCCTAACATGGCCACAGTTAATCTGGTATTATCAGCAGTCTTCTTTGCAAAGTTAATCAGCATCTCATTTGCATTTGTTAATTAGGGTTAATGTGTGCTAATTGATTTTTTGATGCTTGTAGAGTTCCATTAAACCCAGTTAGGTATAGTTGCTGGTGCTCCTCATTCGTATGAATTATGGTGATCTCGTTTTTATTGAATCGGTGCCAAATAGGGAACCTGCATCATAATTACAGCTAATTAACACAACATGATGTCCTGCACTAATGTGCTTCCCTGCTAGTGTATGGGTGTTATAAATTCCAAAGTTACATATTTACTGAAGCTATGGGAATGTTTATAATGTCATTCTAGAACAAAAAGAGTGATGCTCATTTTTAAGAAACTTCAATCTGATCTTAATTGGTACCTCATGGACTTTGGATTAAGAGATGCCTTGTTTCATCTCAGTGACTTAAATTGGTTGACCTAGGTGTTTTTCCAGGAAAATGGTCTCTGATTTAGACATGCAAGGCCTTGGCTCAGTTCCTTGTGTTGGCATTTATGCCGTCATGTAAAAGATGTAACCTGACCTCAGCATCCGTTCTGCTGGTTTTCAACAGCACTTTTCTGAGCCACACTGGATGCTTACATGAGCCTCATTATGCCTTTTTTTGCTGTGGACAAACAGATTCAGTAGCAAAATGCTTTTTCTGGCACCATAATGTTAGGGAACCATCACTGTGAGAGGTTTATTTTCCAGAAACCTCAGGAGAATGAGTGGTGAGGCACTAATAGGATTCTTGGCATAACCAGCCATGGATTCTCCATTTTGTTGCACTGCTGTTCTTCCAGGTGATGCAACTGAGAAATTCACTTGTACTCTTACCACTTCATATTTTGTTTAGGTGATGTCTTTACTGCTCAAAACCCAAAACTTGTAGATAATACATTTTTGCTGAAAACAACAGATCTTGATGAACTCACAATGAAACTTGCTATTTTAGCAAAAGACGAGGCAGATGCAGGATTTGATATTTTGCCTCAAAAAAAAAGTTGATAAAGAAAAGTAGAAGATATTTCAAAGTGAAATATTTTTACTATATATGCTTTCAATAATTTTAAATTTAACACAAAAAGCAAATTATCTGTACAAATTACAATTAAATCATTAATTAAACTATCAACACTTTTCCTCAGGCTTGTTGCACGAACACAATATGGCCAAGATGAGGCTCCTTACTTTCATGGGAATGGCTGTAGAGAATAAAGAAATCTCATTTGACACAATGCAGCAGGAACTCCAGATCGGGGCTGATGATGTGGAAGCATTTGTTATTGATGGTAAGAACTGTGGTTCTGCACACAGTGCTCACGAACAAGACCTTTTTAGTCTTCTAATCTAATGTTAAATTTTAAGAACAATATTAATTTTGATTCCTGTGCTTTTTACAAGTTAAAGCTGCACAACTTCATGTTTAAAGAAAGGCCCAACTGTTGTGTTTTAACCAGTCTCAGTGACAGAAACTGTGTCTCATGTAATTCTTTACAGGACTAATAAATTGTTTGCAGATTTAATTTATCATCTGGTTTTGTTTGCTGTCATTAAAACAGGAAGTGTTTGTAGGGGAGAGAAGTTCATAAAATCTGTGCAGGATATTGTTTTAATAGATTGGCACCAAACAATAGGATTCATGTGTGACCATCTTGTTACATCATTTTGCTTTTCTGCCTACTAGGCCATTAAAACCAACAGCAAAACAGGTTAAGAGAACTGCTGAGTTCTTATGTTTGTATTGATCTCATTTTGAACCATTTTTGTGCAGTTTAATGCCTTTGCATTATCATAAAAATGTTGCTCAAAACAGCATTGTTTTTTTGCAGCTGTAAAAACAAAGATGGTGTACTGCAAAATAGATCAGACACAGAGGAAAGTCATTGTCAGGTAAGACAGTTCTGCATGGCATTTTGCGGAACTTCGTGTGTTCTAATTATTTCACTTACGTTTGTAGACTGTTCTAACTAGAAGCAAGGTATTGTTCATATCAGTTGCTGGTAGTTAAATAGTTGCTATTTATCATAATTTTATTAAAGCTCACACTGAATGTGATTAGCTTATTTAATGAAAGAGTCCTACTTTCCAGGACATTTCATTTAATGACCTACTAGTGACAAGAATACTAATGACTGTTGTTGCTTTAAATATTTGGGAAGGCTACAGAATTCTCTCAACTGGTGAAGTGCAGCACATTCTAGAGAGAAAATCGGAATTTTCCTATTTACTTATGAGAATAAAGTAATGCTGTAGAAGAATGATTAGGCGAGTGTGACATCTCTAGTAACCTTCTCCCAATTTTGTTTTACTTCTCCAGTCACAGCACACATCGGACTTTTGGAAAGCAGCAGTGGCAGCAATTGTATGACACTCTAAACACCTGGAAACAAAATCTGAATCAAGTGAAAAACAGTCTCCTCAGTCTCTCAGACACATAAGATTTTTTTTTTTTTTGACCTGGTGATATTGCTATAGATGAACTTTATTCAAAACTTTGATAATTTGTGACTGTTTCCAAAAAATGTATGCAATTGGCTTAAAAAAGCTAAATATTTTAAATTGCCACACCAAAAAAAAAAAAAAAAAAAAAAAAAAAAAAAAAAA